TAGCAGATGTCACTTAATTACAGAATGCTGTAGGTTATTCTTTCCATCATAGGCCTCTTGTAGTTTGGCTTCTTTGTAGATTTCTTATTGAATGCAAAGGCAGTTACATAATCATAAGAAGACAGGGATTCTCAGCTGAATTGAGTAGTAGGAAGTGGCAAAAATAGTAAAGTTCTTATGAGCAGTGTATCAGATGAAAATTCATACTGAAAGGGGAGATAACATGGCAAAATACTTCATACTTCTTATTTGTTATAATTGTGAATTTGTGTCAGGATAATGAAATTGTTCTGATCCATCTGCTCCAGTGCTTGAAAGATTCGAGATAGTTGCAAACTGCCTTCTTTCCAGGGTAATAATAGACTTGCTGACATTTGATGGCACTTTCTGGAGCTCAGTTGTTTTTGCTATCATGGCTAGTGTTTTGGATTGGGGTTGTCCCTTTCATAAATATTTTAATTTATTACTTAGTTTTGCCTGATATGTTTCTATATGGATATTTTTAAGATTAGTAAGAATTTTTAAGATTGCATTTCTAATTGTTTAGCTGCTTGATGGAATTGTAACTTCTCCGTAGCTAATGAATAACATTGTCACATGAGTGTTTCAACAAACTGTCTTTCTTTCAAAATGGTATAGAAATTGTTCCTTAGTAGCAATAAAAGTACAATGTGTAGTAATTATGTGATTTTTAATTTTTTTTAATGAAGTAATGTTTTTTTATTTTAACTTGCAGGAAGCACAGGCTTATGCAGATGACAACAGCTTATTGTTCATGGAGACGTCTGCCAAAACATCTATGAACGTAAATGAAATATTCATGGCAATTGGTGAGTTTATGAACAAACTAAGAACTTAAAAAGAATTTTTTTCATGAGATGCAGACCATTGCAATCTTCCTAACCCAAGGTCTTCGTTTGTAACCTGAATTATTTCTGGCACTGAAGTTTCTTTAGGACCTTTTATTTGTTTAATTTTGTTTAGGTAGCTGTCTGAAATCCAAAAGTTGTGCCAAAGATGGCGATGTGTGCTTAAATTCACTGTCCAAGTAATATGTAAAGGATGCTGCATATGAGAAGTAAATTTACTAATAATTTTTAGAACTAACATAATCTTAAGGATTTCTGTAAAGTTACCAACGTGTAATAGTAAGTATAAATTATTAAGAAATTTTGTCTATTCCATTGATATAACCAAAATTGTATTTAATTGTTGATGAACTTTTGAAAGGGGAGGAAAAAGAATACATTTTAGGCCGGTCACTAACCTGTTAAATAATAACCTTAATCACAGTAGGAGCTCTGCTGCTCAGTAACAGTAATTTATAGCATCAAATAATCTCATTAAACCGTTTTGTATGTTGCACCACGGTGACCTCTCCAACCCGCTTTTTGTGGAAAAAAATCATTGCTGTTAAAATGAAATGTTTCTAAAGAGCTCTTACCCTCTGCTTTTCAAGTCCGGAAAGCAGAAGATAATTTGTGGTGTGCTTCAAACTTCCAGTAGATGCGAATTAAATTATCACTATAGCAACACTTTATAACAAGTACTTCCTTCATATTAACTATAAATACTTGGGGAGGGGGGACGGACACAAACACATAACTGTATGTGAGGAAAGTATATTCTTCTCATAATTGTTCAAGATAGCCCTGCATTTAATGATACAGAAATGCTCAATTGCACCATTCTGGTGAAATTTCAGAATTAACATGTTTAATGATGCAGTTTGCATCCTGTTTAAAAAAAAAAAAACTGAATCACCAAATATGTTTGTTTTGTTTTGTTTTTTTTAATTTGGTATATCAACAATAATTCTTACCTCTCCATATTTTAATGAAGTATACAAAGTGAATTTGAGGAAAACAATGGCTAACTAATAACTCGGTATTTTGTCTGCAATGTTGGTTGGCCATGTGAGTATTCTTTTGCATCAGTGGGGTGAAATTCAGCTTTGTCAGTGCATCAGAACAAGATCTATGCAACAGTGGACTCTGGAAGGAAATCTTGGAGGCTATGAGTATTGCATGGAATTTAGAATAGCCTGCACAACATGGTGCAGTTCTCAGGACCATGTGTAAATACAATCTTCAAAACTGGGAGAAAATGGAGAAATGAGAACGCTGACAGAACTGTGGGATGCAAGTTACAGCTGCTTGTAAATTGATTGCTTTAGAGTTTGTTAAAAACTTTCAGTTAAAAAAATGTTAATTGAGTTCTAGATACAGTTAGAGAATTCAAAATGATAGTGCTCTGAAGGCATTTTTCTACTGGTACTTTGTCCTTCTGTGCTGTCTCAGCAGCTTAGTACCATGTGAATTCTTGGTTTTTATCACAGAATTGTAGAACAGCCCAAGTCGGAAGGGACCTCAGAAGATCCCTCTAGTCCACCCTTTTGTGGGAAAGGGAGTCTAGATTACTTAGCACCCTGAGATTATCTAGCACCACAGCACACTGTTGATGTTTGCTCTGCTGTTTTTTTCTGGCTGCATTTTGTTCCTTTCAGAAAAAGCTGTTCTTTAAAAGGCTGACCAAACTAATTACTTTGGAGTGAAAGCACATGCAACCAAACTGTAGAACAGGAGTGGTTGCTGGGTCCCAGTTCATGTGCAAGACAGGCCCATGGAAATCCTTTTATGGACTTTTATAGTTAAAATAAGCAGTTTTCTGATGGAAGAAATCTAGGAGAAGCTACTGCTCAGAAAGGTAACAGTTGTCACCCTTATTTTTCGTGTCAGGACGGGTACCTTGGAGCTACAAAGGCAACAAAGAAATTATCAGTCAATTGATTCATAGGAGCTGGAGAGAAGAGACAGCTTGAAAAAAATAAGAGAGGCTTGATCTGGTGCTGGCGCCATTTTATATGTTGTATGCAAATCCTTACTCTGGCTGGATATCTGGGAACTAGTTTGACCCATTTCTGTCTGTTTGGTGCCTTTTCAGTGTTTCTGTATCTTTTCTCACTAACATCCTGATCTTAAAGCCTGTTCCATGTGGGTGGATTCCCATAAGAGCTGTCATTTGCTGGCATAGCACACCTGTGCAGATATATTTTACTGCTCAAGTTACTAATGCATTTGATGCTTGGAAATCATAGATAAGGGAGTTAATCATTGAGAAGTTAAGACACTTAACTTCTTTCATTACCAATGCAGTGAATCAAATCCAATTATATGGTGAGTATACTGATATGCTTATAGAGTAATAATGTGTTGACTTTGTGTACTCAGGTGATTTAATCTTAGTGAAATCTCAGTTTAACTCTTATATCCTGTTCATCTTACAGCAAAAAAATTGCCCAAGAATGAACCACAGAACGCAGGAGCCAGCTCTGCCAGAGGAAGAGGAGTAGACCTTACTGAACCCACACAACCACCCAAGAGTCAATGTTGTAGTAACTAAAAGATCAATTACTTTAAACTGTTCTGAATATTCTTCTGCTTCCTAACTGTTAATAACCATGGAATTGGAGTGCTTAACCTGGTCCAGTACAGCTTCCCAACAGCGAAGAGACTTATGATAATAGTCAAGTTCATGATACAGAGTTTTCTTTTGATGTAAAATTTTAACATGCATGTATCCACCACTGGCTATAATGTTTCAGCAGTAGAGGAGAGATGGAAGGGACATAAACTTCCTTCAGTTGAAAGGTTTAAAAAATCAGTTGTTATTAGGAGTGTAGAAGAACTGCTCTCTGTGGACCTAATTGGCCAGTTCCTGTAGCCTCAATACTGATCACTGTTATAATAAATAGAATTGGGTCTTTTCATAATTCTCAATTGTGCTTTAAAGCCTTTTTAGAAACAGGGTCTAAAAATTACTTAAACTTCTCTGAAGTATTGATGCAACCAGTTGTTTCTGCAGGTATCCACTATTTAGTTATACATTCCATAGTTTAATAATTTAATTACAAATAATACTTGCATTAACAATTTTAAGAATCCTTTGCTTGCCAGACAGTGGAGTTTTAGTTGGTACACTGTATGTAAATGATATCAACCCACTTAGTTATCTTAATGAATTAGTGATGAATCAAGTTTAACTTAATTTCTAATGTTTTCAGAGGGTACAGACCAGTAAATTCAATTCTATGACTTAGGATATGTTTGTTTTTTTTCCTCTACAAACTGTAAGAGCTCTTCAAGTAAAACCACAACAAACTCGGTGTCTGTGACTTTTCTTGTTTCTGATCATTGCTGGCCATTACAGTTTGTTTTTCCCCTAAGGAAAAAAATAGTGCACTAACGATTATGTACATCCAACTTGATTTTAAATTTGGATATTAATGTACTGTAAATAGGTACTCTGCATTGTAGTCTACATTTGTTTAATACTTTCTGTAATATTTAAGAGTTGCTTAAAGGTATACAGAATGTACAGTTACTTAAAGCTAACTTTTTTCCTCTCTAATCAAAGGGGGTTCTGAGTTCTTCCTTTATGGCTAGAACAGTAATAAATGATGCTCCTGTATCTGTAACATAAGTACTGCTGTCTGTCAGTAATGAACTTTGCAACTTTGTTTTCCAAAGTACATTTTATTTTGATCAGTCCAGTATATTGCACTAATTCTTTTAGTTATTTTCATTATATGAAATCTACAAAGTGTGTCAGAAGAGATGAATTAGTCTATTTAAATGTTGAACTGATAGAAACTTACTTGTGCAGATTTAAAATTTGCAGTAATCTGGGTTTAGCAAGGAAAATGACAGTTCACCAGTGTTTAGTTTTATATTGAGGTGCTCAGGTTTGAATAAAGTGGTTTAAAAAAATTTTGATTACTGTTTCTTATTGAGAGTTTCAGATGGTTTTATTGCATTTGTACAGTTCAATGCGCTTGCAACAAACATGGGTAGCGCCCTTCCCAAATCTTCGTTCATGAAGCCCAGCCATGACAGTTCCAGACAAGATGTCTGATTTACTGAATGGGTCAGCATTTAAGATGATTACAAGTAAATTCATGACACAGCTAAATATAAGCCTGTCTTATATATACTCTGGCACTTCAGCTATTTTTAAATGTTGAGGTAATTGGGTATCTTATCACATCCATATAGAAATACAATCAAAACAGTAATATTATCTCTTGAACCTGAAGCTAATGCAGTTTTTGCCAGTTTTTCCCTAACGTAGCTTGTTGCATTGTTGTAGTGTCTCAGAGATGTCTGTGCCTCTTCCTGCAGCTGATGATTTGCAATTGGATGGGTGCATTTTTGTGTCTTTTTCAAACTGGTGGTGGTTTAGAACCCACTGGTTATACAGACTTCAGCAGGTCTTGACCAGCATCACTTGCAGTTTCTCACAAAATACATTTTTTCTGCCAGCTGTGGGCTTGAGTCACAATTAGCTGGCACTTTTTTCTCTTTTGAAGTCTGTTTCATGACTTTAGACCCTCTTGCCACTACATTCTGTTGCAGATGTTTATGGCTGCGAGTTGGACCTGTTGCACAGAAGGCAACAGTTTCTTCTTGCTCTGAAGTCTGTCACTGTGGATGAAAACTCATACATGAAATTTTCTGTCCTTGTGTGTAGTTCCTCCTAGAACATTTTCATTTATTTTGTTTCAGATTGCCTTTTGAGTCACTGTGGAAAATATCTTTATTGGAATACAATATCTGTATTCCATCTTGCAGATTATTAATAGCATTCGAGTCATTTAGGTTGTCTTCAGTGAGGGAGGGACATTGAATACTGACACATGGAGAAGTCCTGTTTCGTTGAACACCATTCATGCATTCTCAAATAAGGAGTGGATGTTGTTAGAGGTGGTGCCAGTACTTCATTGTAATACAAAACCTCCCAAAACCCTTTAGAAACCAAAATAAGAAACTGATAGGTACAGATATAATATGAGTTACAGGTATAACAGATGTTCTTTTTGTTGCATCTCTGTGATGTCCAGGGACCCTTGTAGTTCTCAGGTATCCCTCTACTAATCCATCTGGTGTATTAGTGCTGATGTTTCCACCGTTCGGAAGTGTTTTCTCTCATGAGTGCTGTGCTCTTTTGAGAGGCAGTGACTCCTTCCATTTTTACATAAGATTGCATATACATCAGCTAAAACTGAAATACTTTTAATATAGCATACTGTTGGGTTTTCTTAAGATACTGCTATTACACTAACAGTCTTTTTAAGGACTGGGAAAAAAACTGAGATCATAGTTGAGTAATCTACTGCCACAGGCAACAATATGTCCATCAGTGAATTTGGTTCTGTTTTACAGCAAAGTTTTCTGTGATTTCTTTAATATTCCATTATTAGAAGACTGTTTCAGAATCTTATTCTCCTGACTGCAGGTTAAGCTGAATAAAACATCACTTAAGACTCCTCATAAGAGTTTAAGTGCAGTCTGATAGAAAAGTTGCACCTTGATTGGTTTTTGAGCAAGAGTGCTTATTTTTTTCAAATATTTTCACTCCTATGAGAGTGTGTGCTTTCAAAATATTATGGCTGAATGAACTCATCAGGAAGCTCCAGGTTCAGACTGTTTCTAGCAGCATATAATTTTTAGTACTGAAAAATAATTTGGATGTGGTGTAGGATTTAGTTTACTAACATGATGCCTTACATCTCTTCCTTGGTTAAAATACCCAAGGGAGCAAGAGTTCTAACAGTCATCAGAGGAAGTTGAGGTCTGACTTCTTTCCTTTAGCAGGCATAGGTATTTTAACTTTCCCTCAACACTCCTGAAATCTGAGAATTTAAAGTATTAGAAATTCCAACACTGCAGGGGGCAGGTCTTGTCAGACTTGAATGAAGAGCATGAAGGAAAGAGCTCCAACCCAAAGTGCTGTATTATTTGAGATCCTCTGTGGCTGCCCTGGGAGACCATTTTTTATGTCAGAGGAGGTTATTGGTCTGCTCTCGTGTATTGGCTTAAGGGCAAAAGTGATGTCTTACAGAAAGAACTTGAGTGAGATAAGTGGTACCTTTCTCGACATGAAGCTGGCTGCAGTGTGTTCATTTATGTTGTACTTTTAATATCTACCTCGACTAGGGGCACAGACCTCTGAAAAGTGTGTAGAAGTAGGCATTGCTTATACAATAGTAGTGTTCCTTGAGCAGTATTGGCAGTCTAGCGTAGGAGACAGCTAAGTGTAGTCTGTGTGAAGGCAGATTTCTCTTGAAAGTGATTCAGAATATCAAAATGCAGGACACACCTTTGATTAATTATACAATGTAGATACCTTAAGTTGTGCTCCATGAATGTTTCCTTGTGCTTGCTCCCCTCTCCTTCCTCTGATTTTTGTGGAGAGCTAGAAAAATGTAAAATATCCTTTGAACCCTTGGAATAAGACCACCAGCTGTAAGCCTAACAAAGAGCCTAATATAACCTATGTGGAACAATTTGACTGCAAAGAGTAAAATCTAGTTGCTTTTGGATGCAAGTCTTGTCAGCAAACCAGAGACAGCAAAAGAATCAACAAAACCTAACTGGCCTATCAGTGTGGGACTAAATGAAGACAGAGCTGGCCAATGTCACCCTCTCCCGCTCTGTGTATCTGACCATCCTCTTCAGTTGCTTACCTGGAGCTGAAGGAACATGTCTCTACTTATGTAAGAACACACTCTTGGGGGGGAAATGAAGGTCGATGTTGTGCAAGTCTTTTTCTGTGGTATGATAGCTTTGGTGGAAAATTAAGTGTATTAAATTAATGTGGTTCAAAAATGTGGATTTTAATCATAAAAGGTTTAAAGTATCTCTGATCAACTTCAAACCTTAATTCATTATCAGATCTTGAGTTTATAGTATCTGTAATTGCAGCCAGAAATGAAATTTTCAGGTAGGGATGGATGGAAGAAGGTAGCAAAACCAAGAAGAAATTTGGTAGAGAATTCACCCAACCCAAGTTGTTATCTTCATCAATCTCTTTGGAATATAAAGTGGTTTTCTTTCACAACAAGGTGGAAACAAATGCATCTGAAAAGAACCTTGCAATCTTAATGTGAGTTAATTCTGTATTCTGCTACAGGGCTGTGACTGCATCTCCTGAAAGTAACAGAGCTAGGGCTAAACTACCAGTTTTGATACCTGTAACAGTGAAGTTCATATAGTTGCAAAAAGCTTGTTGGAAGTACAGTGCGGCTATAGTAACAAGCATTGGGAGAATAGTGGGAGGGGGGATATACCACATACAACACACTAGTTGCATGTTCAAGGAGCAACAGTGTTTCTCAGACTGCCAGAGGAATGCAATTACTGTTAAGCAGAAGTATTTTTTTTATATATGGAATTAGTTTTTCCAGATGTGGAATATGATAATTTTTTTTTTTGCCTCCTAAAAACGGTGAAGCCTCTCAAATGGTTCTCCCTTTTCTTATTGATCTTTGACCTTCTTGATTAATTTCAGTCAACTTTCATATGCAGAAACAGTTGCAGTATCTGCTCGCTCCTTACTAATGCCAGGCAGAGTGATAGAAAAGAAGTATAGAGCTGGGCAAGTGCTTCAAGCAGAGACTGGAAGACACTACAGAATGTAACTGTAGACACAAATCCATTTGAAACTATTCACCCACCTGCTTTTTTACATAATTCTGTGTGTGCACTCCTTTGTGGGAAAGCAAGCATCTTGCCTGTGATCTTACAGCTGTCTTATGACCACAACAGGATATAATTGGTAATAAAAATCACCAGGTGGGAAAGATACAGTAACCAGAGTTGCTAGTCTGCAAGAGCTTTGTCTAGTGTTCGCTGCAGCAGGAGTGGGTAGAGAAGCATTAAGGATGTATCAGTGTTTCTGATAGTAATTAATAACTGGTTTCCTATACTAAAGAAAGGCAAAGCAATGTCCTACTTTATAAGAAAACATGTCTGAATAGATCTTCCACAACAACAGTAAAAGCCAACCAATGCCTATTTCAGAAACTAGTAATTCAGATGATTCCCTCAAAATGTGTTTTCAGTTTGCTTGTAGCAAAATGTGGTGGCACTTAGTCCAATGAAACAAATGAATAAAAAGAATATCTTAAGCGTGTTTCATTGATATTAGGAATTTATCAGATCTAAAATCAGAAGATTTGTGATTGACTGCCATAAAGTGATGACAACCTAAACCCCTTGATATAAAAGAAACCACTCTGTATTTTCTTACAGAAGTCACTTGTGGAATGCTTCCTAACTTTTACATTAGTAAATTGATTTTGCTGCCTTAATTCAAATATTGTGCTTAGGCAACTTATCTAATAAGCTGAATACTATTGTCTGATAGCAGTATCAGTTGCAAGGGAGTTTATCACATCTGCTTTACATTGTCAAGCTAAAGGAATTGCTGCTTTTTATCTCCAGACACTGACTGCCAACAAACATCTAGGTTAGCTAATACTTTCTTTTGTTGCATGAAGGGAAAAAAATTCTGGTGTGTTATGTACATACCTATAAATAGCAAAGTCCAGTGGTCCAGCAACACCTTTGGCCCTTCTGCCTAATGGACTATGTGTGTTATTTTCACAATGTTTTCTTTCTTCTACCTCAGTGCCATCTGTCTCTTTGCTGGGAATGCTTTCCACCAAACAGGTAACCACTGAACAGCCACTCCAGTGAGCTTTGGAAACCTCATTTCTTCCCAGTTGTAAAAATCTCTGCATTCTCCTAAAAGATTTGGCATACACTTTGTGAATCCATTTGTAAGGACTGGTCATCATCTGGGTCTCCTCATTGCCTGGCTTGTCAGAGAATATGTTCTCTTTTTCCTTGTAATCTGCCTTAATTACTGTGGGAAAAATCTACAATTTGCACTTTGTCCTTCTGATTTTTGTAGGAGGAACCTTTTTGAGAAAGCTGATCAAGAAATAAAAGTGAAGCTCTGCTGCAACTGTTTCTGCAGCTGTCACACTGTGACAGCCATCAAGAATTTCCAGAAAACATGTATCTGACCTATTTCCATAGTTGTCTGGTGCAACAAATTTATCTTTGTGTCTCCTTGCCACGTGGGATTTTTATCTTTGCAAATTGGTAAAGCTTTTATTAAAGAATTATTTACTTTCTTAAAAGGACCAGGATTGTTGATATTAGCAAGATCACAATATTAAGTGGGAGTGGAATTCAAATGAATAATCTGCTTATCTGTGTCAGAAAATTTAGGAATCTGGAATTTAGGTACTGCAAGGACTTCATAGGGTCTAATCAGCACAAGCCTGTCTGCCCATTTTCCAGCCGAAGCTCGTACATTCTTCCTATCCCTATGCACCTCTGTTTTTTAAATTTAAGCTCCTTGCTCCAATCTCCCTCATCAGCTCAGTCTCCTTCACTTCACTCTACATCTTTGATGCTGTCTCACTATTCCTCTGTCTGGCACCTGGTGCTGCAACCCCAGGAGTCAGAGCTATAAGCGTAACTCCTAGTGAGGTGCTTCCTGATAGAGGCCAACTGGTGCAGAGGGGACTGCCCAAATTCAGCACCTGCACACTGGCATGTCTCTACTTGGCATGGGCAAACTGATGCTGCTTTTTAAATATTTTAACTTGTTCTGATTTGGGTAAATTGATAAGAGTGACAAAAGATGCACCGCTGATGCCATTTCAGCCAAATTGCCAATCTGTACTTTAAAACCTGATGATCTTGGACATTCTCTAGAAAATAATCAAGATTTTGGTTTAATACAAGCAGAACAACATATTTTCCAAATCTAATTCTCAGAAACAGCTGAACCATATTATCTAGGATTTTTTTTCAAATTATTCTGCTTCAGGCTTGGAAAATTCTAATATGAGCTGCTTCTTGCATTATATGCTCTCACTCTAAATCAGCATGTGACATACATGTACAGACACCATAACAACACAAAGTCCTGACACCATGTGAGCAGCTCAGCTTGCCAGCCTATATATCATCTAAGTATGAAAACATAGTGTTTACATTCAAGTTGATTAAGTTTATTTTTTAGGATTAAGTATTTATGTGTGTATATATGAGAAATATCAGACAAAAATCCATAGGTTTCTCTCATCTGAGATTTTTGTTTCGGTTAATCTTTGTTAACTGCTGGTAATCCATTGCCAGGGCAAATAACAGTAGTTAAGCAGCAGAAATTTGTCACAGCCATGTTACAAGAGCAGCCTTTAGTAATTTCATCCTACTTTAACCTCATCCATTTACCAGGGTTCTCTCTTTGCACTTCATACAACCACACCTGAATAACTATTTTGCAGCTGTTGTCTCTTCCAGGATTTCAGCTAGGAAGTACATTTTCCTCTGTCTCACTAATTCTGTTCAGTGCCTGGGTATTGTAAGCATTTCTGCAGTTTGTGTTTCAACATGTGCACTCTTTCCTGTGATGACATTTGTTTGATAAAATTTCATGGTAGTCAAAGCCCCAACCTACTCCAGCGCCTCCTCCAACATCTTAAAGAATCAAGTGCCTCTGATCAGCGGAGGTAGATCAATTATAACATTTTAAAAGGAAAATCTCTTCCATAGAGGGTGAACAGTATTAGCAGAGCCACTTAAAAGCCCCTCATGACTGCAGTATACTTTATCATTGCAGAGGTGGCTTGCTGGTGGCTATGGCTCTCAGTCTGCTGTAGGACAACTTTATGGAAAAGTCCGTCTCTCAACAAGAGGTGAGCATCAGCCTCCTTTAAAAGTGCTGCACCGTTTCAGCAGGACAAGATAAGGAGGGACATGGTTAAAACAGCAGCAGAAGATAGGCTTGTGCAGAACTCTTTTTCCTTTATTCTGCATAGTTTGAATTTGAGACTGGGAGGCAGCAAAAGCCTTTTCACTGCTGTCATTATGATGATCCATTCAGGCCTGAGAAAAATTGGGACTAATATATATAGAAAGTTTGGTAAGCTGGTTTTTTGTCTTTTAAATGTGATTCCATTTTACATTTAGTGTATATAAAACCCCCTTGGATTAGAGAGAGCAAAATGATAGTTTGACCTTAGTAAACTTAATTCTTAACACTCACACACATTTTATAGATGTTTGTATCTCCGTAAATGGTGTAAGTGCTAGCAAATCACAAATTTCAAAGCCTCAAAACAGTCTCAGTTAATTACAATGTGTAAATAACCAGGATAATATACATAATAATTCATGTAACAAGATATGCTACAAGTCTTCAGTTGTAATAAATCTGCTTATAATTATTAAAAGGGCAACCTCGATACTTTTTTATACTATGCATAAATTGCTTATGTTAATAGCTGAAAACCTTGTAAAAGTAGAATAAAAAATGAAACATTTCCTTTGTTGATCTCTTATGAAGTAAAAAGATTAGTCTGTGTTTCCTTCTCTCCTTGCATTTCCCCCATTAGGAACAGATACAGACTCAGAGGTTTTTTGCTGTCAGGTTAAAGGATAACAGTGAGTTATTGAAAGCACAATACACGAAGCTAAAGCATTCTAGCCTCAGAGAGTGAAAGATAAAATTCAGCTTTCTAGCTCACTGCAGTTTCCCTGTGCCTATTTAGGGAGCCAAAATCCAACACAGTTTAATGTTCTGAGGTGAAAATAGAAGCAGATAAAAAGAAATTAGATGTAGAAGAATGGGGAGCAAACCACAGTTTGAGACTGTACATATTTTCAAGGGCAAAAAATTGTATGTACTCTTTGTGTCGTAACAAAGAGCCTCTTGGTCAGTGCTTAATCCTGCTACTCGGAAAGGAAGGCTGCTCCACCTCTGTCATACGTTGGCCTGTCTATAACAGGGGCAGAATGGAAGCAGAGCACGAGGCTTACACGGCAGAGGATACCGTTGTCCCAGTAAATCTCATATTTCTGGAAAACCTTTCTAACTACGACACTTGGAGGTGCTTGCTGTTAATATGGTAAGGCAAGATTATTTTCTGCTTCTGCAGTTTGGCACTACAATCTCATTTTTTAATTAGTGAAGATGGAATATGTCCCTGAGCTTTGAGGATCCAGGATCTGATTTGTATCCAAACAGGAGAGTCCCATATGCAGTTATCTCTCTCTAACACATCATTCCTATCTCCACCCACAGAGTGCTTCTTCCTCACTTACCATCAGAACTTAACTTGCCCAATCTCTAGTTGTGAACTCCTTCCTCTGTGAGTTTTGTGGGTTTTATTATTTGCTACATATTTGTGGTCTTAGAAAATGGTGCCTGTTACTGATGCTGAAACCAGCACTGAAAAGATGCCTGCCTGCCAGCCTGCCTGTAGGTGACAGGAAGAGGCAGAGAAGGGCTGTGTGATATAAATGAAGGTCACAGTCTCCCGAGTTTCTAATCACAGTATTATCAACTAGTACGTATAAACAGGCCTCGCTCCTGCAAATCCCTGCTGAATGAGCATCAGCTTCTTTGCCTGTCTTTTCCTTCTTCCCTGCTTTACTTCTTGCTCATGCCTCAGCCAGTGCTTCCTTTTCAGTCCTGTTTTCCCCATGTGCCTGTGATGCCAGGATATGGGTTCGTTGCCTCCAGCTGTTCAGCCCAATTCCTCTCCTCTTACTGACCTCCCTTCCCTCTGCCCTGTCACACAATTTGGCAGTGGCACCTCCCCGGAAAACTGCTTGCAAAAGCATCACACCCACTTACAGAAACCATGATGGGGACTCCTAGCATTGCCAGGACTGTCTCTCCGTGAGCTGCAGCATGCCTGACACCATCAGCACCTGCCAAGGAGTCACCGTGTAAGGCGGTAGCATTTGCCTGGTGCAGCTTGGCTGTGCTGTGCAGTGCATGCCCAGTGGCACAGTCAGAGCCAGCCTCTGCTTTGCAGGTGCTGCCTTAGCAGGTCCCAGCTTTATGTGGATACCTTTGGCTGAAGCAGCAAAGAGCAAATATCTTATGCGAAAACCCTTATGTAGCCTTTCTTAAACTCCTATAAGACCTCTGAAAAACTCTTCACCTGAAAAGATGAACTCACTTGCTAACTCAGCAGCCATGCCCTATACCTTTCACTACTTTTAGAAGACCTGGCCCTCTTGTTCTCTAAAACCATCTGCAGAGGGAATGGGGCAGAAGGAACAAGACATCTTCTCCCAAGTGAGTCAACTTAGATATGCATAGTATAGCCTACTTACTGCATCCCCAGAAGCAACAATGCAGTTTCAAGAAAATCTAGTTATGAAAGGTGTGGGAAGAGATAAAGACTAACCTGGTGAGTCACGGGAGCATGCCACGGGCAGAGCCTGCATTCAGGACTTGGGAACAGTCCTGCCTCTAGACCTGATGATAGGCAAGAAAGAAGGAAGTGATTAATAATTAAAATAATTATGGAATAAATTAAGATAATTAGTCTCCTTATTTATCTTCCTAAGTGTTGTCCAAAACTATAATCTTGGGATTCCAGGCCCACTGGTTTTGTGTCATCCTATAAAATAAGAGTCCCCATCATTAGGTCTTCTTGGACAAGAGTTATAATTTGTGACGCTGTCCGCTTGGGCAGAGATGCAGCTTCTCGGCTGGGAGGAAGCATCAGACTGGGAAATGGGAGTAGCAAAACAATTGCAAACCTAGTTCTGTTTACACTCCAGATATTTAGCAGCTCTTCCTTGTAGATGGGTTAGTCTTGGTGGGGCAAAGGTAATAGTTTGCAGCCCACCAAGTGCCTGTGTTAGGCAGAGAGGCAGTGAAGCATTGAGCGGGGATGACAAGCCTGCTGGCCTTGCCATGGGAGGGGAGGTACATGAGGTTTTGGAGATACTCAAAGAGAAAGCTGTGGCAGAAAGTGGAACACGGGTGAAGACAATGTAACTGTGCCTTCTGCATTCCCAGTGTCATCCTGTCTCCCTCACCTCACAAACCCACATCTGGGGTTGCTGCCGTATTCCTGGGGTTCCTCTATTTTTTTCAGCTGTACACAGCACTATTACATTTGATCTAAATGGAGATTTTTAAACTGTTTAATTTCTTCTGCTTGGCCAAGCTGTGGAGCTTGAGGCTGTGTTCCCAGTTCCTAGGGTTTCCAGTGCCCTTGCACACTGATATAGGGAAGGCCCATGACTGGGTTTGCACAGTTAGATGTTCTTAGGCCACTGTAACTTCATCTTATAGAAATAATACGAATTTTCTATGCAGAGTTTTGTTATCTAAATTGGTATCATATTAAGGGTGCTGGCTGGCAGCTACTCGGGTGCAGGTAGCAAAAAGGGGGTCCCTTCCCTCTCACTTCTGCCAGCAGAGCCTGTGCCAGTCTCCTGGTGGTCTGTCAGGCTTCCAGCAGCAAGTGACCTGCCCTACATAGGAATGGGGTGGTTTGCAAAACTGTCAGAGCACAGGCAGTCAAAGTATGCCAAGTGGGGTCCCAGAGAATTGTGGAGATCTCTACCACAAATAAAGAAGAAGGAAGAACAGAAAAATATGTTAGATAAAGGAATCGACAAAAGAATTGTGGGGAGTCAGAAGAAAGAGAAGGTAAGGAAAAAATAGATAGTATATCCCATGTTTGTATGAAGCAATCCAGAGCTCTCAGTACCATGAAATAACAGTGTCAGCCTATGTAGTAACTGCTGATAGCTAAATAACTTTAACAAACAGCTTCTGAACTTGACACGCACAATTCACACTGAGCAAAGGCACAAGTGACTGTCCTGTGCTGCATGATTCCAGCCTTCGGTTTTCTCACCTGGTTTGTGCTAAACCAAAACTCTGACTGCAGTCAAGAAGAGCATCTTCTGTGTAAGAAGCATATAAAAACTGCTAAATGCTCCATTACTAACAAGAAGTTTGTGTGACTGAAACAGCCCTGAGTGTTGCAATGACATTTTTTCCATTTATTTTCCCTCTTTTTTTCCTTTAAAAACTGGGTAATTGGGGTGTGAAGTTTCCTATGACAGACAAAAGCCTAATGGGAAGGTCTGCCATCTGCATTATTAAAGTCACATGTTAGCGCCATGGGAAGCAGATGAGGTGCTAGAGACAGCATAATGAACAAAACCTTTGCACTGTTAATACTACCAGTGATTCACAAGATATTGATAGCAGTCCTGAACTCGTGGTGGCCAAGAGGGAGGTCACTTCACCCATAAGGAATGCGCTAATGAAAGGACACAATAGGATTTTATTCTCATAGAAATTCCCTGGAGGAGAAAGAGATGCACTTTGCATTGAATGGCAAGAGTAAAAGCAGGTGGGAGCACTGGAAGAGAGACCCATCTTGAATAAAAAGGGAGACAAGGCTGGGTTGGGCACACTGGATCTGACCAGGCTGAGAGGCAGGGATGAGGGGTAGAGGTGGGCTCCCAGAGCTCGGCTGCAGGCTGGGTGGTCCCTGTCAGAGAGGTAGCATTCCGCATTAGGCTGCTATTAGTTGAATAATTTTTTTTATTTATATGAGCAAGATAGGCCCCAAAAGCCCTAAATGACAACTAGGTAATAACCAGGAGTCTGGTACACCCTAACCAGCATTTTAATTTCTCTTTTGTGACTCAACAATGCAACCTTTGATGGAATAATAATATCACACATACTCTTGCATTTAAGCCTGTCAGGTGTTCACAGCGAATTTGTGCGGGAGCAACAAACATGAGATGCACCTGTGATCTGCTGGGAGCAAGGGCTCTGAGCAGGCACCTCCTCGGGGCTATCAGTAACCTGAGAGAGACCTGAAACCCACAAGAGCTGGGACTTGTGTCTCACCCAGCTCCTGGTTTACTTAATTTAATGTAGATGAGTTGTCTTCCTGACGTCACCCGGCTACTCACCTGAGTTTGCGGGCTGAGCAACACAGGCAGGCCAAAGGCAGCCAGGATCACCCGCTCCCACCAGGACTTCCTAATGCAGGTTTCAGAGTCAGCTCAACTTGTGCAAACCCACTGATGTGCCCCAAAGGACAAAAAGTGAAAAAGATGGCAAGGGCTTTTCAGACAATGCTCTGAGTTTTAATCTAATTTAATATCTTCATAGTGCATGTTAAATGATAAAAAGCAAGCAACAGAGGAATTGTATGGTGCTCAGATTTATGCACGTATTATAATTAGAAAATTAGTATGTGCTCTGCTTGCGAATTCAGCCAACAGAAAAAGCCAGCTTGGATATGCAATCAACAATGACATGTGTCCACTCATATGTCAAAGCATAGGCTTTTTTGTTTGTTGTTTTGTTTTTTTTCCTACTGTAGTGCAACCTGTTGTGACCTAATTGCATTCACTGGAGCCACCACAAGTCAACATAACCCAAGTTATAGTCCCACATTTCCAGACAGCAAATGGTCTTTTCACTCCTTATTCTTGCCAAAATTGTGAATGCAACATTTTACCTTTCACTGGAGCAGTTTAAGACAAAGTCAAGCTTTTTTTCTTTTTGGTTTTAAAAATATATTTGCACAAAGTTAGAATGTGATCAATGATTTAAATTAGGTTTAAAGTTAAAAAAAAGAAAAATATTTACCTATATGCAGCTAACGAGTGATTTCTTTCTCAGCTGCTCCTAGCAGGCAGCAGTTCTGCATGTGTAGTGACATTAGTGTTTATAAATGTTACTATAGTAACTGTACGTGTAGTCACAGACTGGTAGACTTACTGTTCTGGTTATCTGGTGAGCAACAAGGTATAATGGAAAAAAAAGAGACACAGCCATGCTCTGGAGGATTCAAGAAGGAACTGCAGAAAAAGTATTTTTTTGCCTTTATACCAACCAGTGCCTTACTGTGTGCATTATGGCAGTGTTTTTCCCATTAGACCCTCATAAACACACCATAAAATGTAAAGACACATTCAGGCATTTAAACCAAAGTCACTACCTGCTTCCTAACAACTTTCACATTTAATTCTACTTTAATGGAAGCAATAAGTTTTCAGGCTTTTAAGGACCCTGAAGAATGAATGAGGTGAAAGAATAAGGTTATTCACCTGTGTAGCTTCAGACATAAATGCCTGCAAGTTGCCTTAATGAACATCAGTGGAGTTACTCACCTGTGTGAAAACAGTAAAGGTATTTTCAGTATCAAAATTTATAATTTATTATATGCAAGTGTGCAAACTTAATGCTGGGTTAAATATAATTAATTAACTGGTTAAAGGAGAAGCTGATAATTTTGGGGGGAAAACAAATAAACAAACAAAAAACGTCAGAGAGGATTTAAAAGCTACAGCAACTCCCAGAAAAACCAGGAGTGTATGTTCAGGCGTGGGTATTAAGTGGTCCATCGGAGCTAGAGTGTTGTTACAGATGCGCTCTTCGCTCATAACATTTGCTGCCGAGGAGGAGTCGTGGGAAAGCTGAAAGTGAAACTAAGCAGAACAGTTTCATTTTCAATTCCGAAAGTAGAAACCCGAGCGGCATAAAAAAATGCAAAGAACTTCTTAGGTAGCTGCTACCATACAGCGGCTATTTTTTCTTTTAAAACATAATTCGGACACTTAAAAAAATTACAAGGATAATTCTTAAATTTCAGAGAAACTGGATTTTTTTTTATCACGACCTCAGCAAAATAAAAATATTAAATAAGTAAATAAAGGAAAACAACAGAACTCCCCCCCCTCCCCCCCATTTCATGAAATATTGTAGCACTTCACTCCATTTTTTTCCTATCGTTTAATGAAAGTGCAAACTCGCCGTATAAACCTATCTCCAGAAGCTGAGAAGAGGAAGGAAGAAGGAGACGTCAGGGAAAGGGTTTTGTCACAACCCCGCACCCCCTCCACCTTTAAATGCTACAACTAACTTCGCTCAAGTCTGGAGTCATCTTTGCTTGCCCCATGCAAGGTGGCAAGGCCCTGTGCCTGCGAGAGGTCTCTACGCTGAGATTCCCTTCCAAACTCATGCTACTACTTTAGGTTTACACATCAAAGAGCCGTAGATCCTACGCAAGAGCCGAGCCTCAATCCCAACCTTTTAAACCGCGATGCTGTTCTACAGAATTGCCATTTGTGGTTTCTCACGGCTCAACCACGTTTTTACATACGTGCAACGGGGCAGAACCACCTTAAACTCAATGCACTTGGCTCTTGTATATGGAGTACAGTCTCTATGGCAGGATCATTTGCGTAATTTTACCTTTCAATTAAAAGGCAATCACTTGAAGACATAAACTGACCTGCTGTCAACACTTGTTTCCGGATACAAAGAAAAAAAAAATTAAAAAAAAAAATCAAACCCCAGAACCATGACACGAGGAGCTGAGCAGAGAGTTTTTGAATTATCCGGTATTTCAAACTGAGCCATGTTTATCTATTGAATTAGAAATCATCTGGGGAGGGGAAAAAAAAAGAAAAGGACCCTTTAAAGGCGGCCTCAAAGTGCACAATGTGGAAACGCAATGGTTAAGCCAAACAAAGTAGCGGCACTTCGAGGGGCCACAGAGGCTGCGGCGGCTGCACCACGGGCTCACCGGGGCTCGGGACCGCTCGACACCGCCAGCGATGCC